CACACACACACACACACACACACACACACACACACAAACACATGCACACACACACTGCCTCTCAGGAACTTTTTTTATGGCTGCAGAGTGCCACCATGGAGCCACTCCAGCTTTAGCTGCTCCTCAATTATGCAGCAGAGTTTTTTGACCTGCTGCACAGATCTCTCCCCTCCTCAATTATGAATGGACCTCTTGATTGAGGTGGGTTCCTTTCCACTCATCCCTCCCTCTCCCTTTTTTTTATTCCTCTAAATGAACAGGCGCCACTACTCCTGCCGTCAGAGAACAACTGAATGCATGTTGAAAGGGTTTAGAGAATTATGGGATGAGAAAAGGCATTAGACGCGACGGGTGGTGGTAATTTTCATTTCGTGATGCTTTGGTCAAAATGTGAAATGAAGATGTCGGTGAATAAGTGAAACCACCAGAACAATTTCTTGAGAGGTACAAATGTAGCTGCACTTTGCTTAGTTTCCTGAAAACTGTTGATGTACTTCCTTCTGCAATGAGTGGAGAGATAACATTATGAAGAAACTAAATTGTTTAATTTTCATTTGCGTATATTGTGTCAATATTGTCAACACATAAGTGTTGACAATATTGATATTCAAAAGTGGTCTGATCTTTTCGTTCTTAATGCTGCTACTATTAGCATAACAGGACATGTAATTGATTAACTTTTATATATACAGTGGGTACGGAAAGTATTCAGACCCCCTTACATTTTTCACTCTTTGTTATATTGCAGCCATTTGCTAAAATCATTTAAGTTAATTTTTTTTCCTCATTAATGTACACACAGCATCCCATATTGACAGAAAAACACAGAATTGTTGACATTTTTGCAGATTTATTAAAAAAGAAAAACTGAAATATCATATGGTCCTAAGTATTCAGACCCTTTGCTCAGTATTTAGTAGAAGCATCCTTTTGATCTAATACAGCCATGAGTCTTTTTGGGAAAGATGCAACAAGTTTTTCACACCTGGATTTGGGGATCCTCTGCCATTCCTCCTTGCAGATCCTCTCCAGTTCTGTCAGGTTGGATGGTAAACGTTGGTGGACAGCTAATTTTAGGTCTCTCCAGAGATGCTCAATTGGGTTTAAGTCAGGGCTCTGGCTGGGCCATTCAAGAACAGTCACAGAGTTGTTGTGAAGCCATTCCTTCGTTATTTTAGCTGTGTGCTTAGGGTCATTGTCTTGTTGGAAGGTAAACCTTTGGCCCAGTCTGAGGTCCTGAGCACTCTGGAGAAGGTTTTCGTCCAGGATATCCCTGTACTTGGCCGCATTCATCTTTCCCTCGATTGCAACCAGTCGTCCTGTCCCTGCAGCTGAAAAACACCCCCACAGCATGATGCTGCCACCACCATGCTTCACTGTTGGGACTGTATTGGACAGGTGATGAGCAGTGCCTGGTTTTCTCCACACATACCGCTTAGAATTAAGGCCAAAAAGTTCTATCTTGGTCTCATCAGACCAGAGGATCTTATTTCTCACCATCTTGGAGTCCTTCGGGTGTTTTTTAGCAAACTCCATGCGGGTTTTCATGTGTCTTGCACTGAGGAGAGGCTTCCGTCGGGCCACTCTGCCATAAAGCCCCGACTGGTGGAGGGCTGCAGTGATGGTTGACTTTCTACAACTTTCTCCCATCTCCCGACTGCATCTCTGGAGCTCAGTCACAGTGATCTTTGGGTTCTTCTTTACCTCTCTCACCAAGGCTCTTCTCCCCCGATAGCTCAGTTTGGCCGGATGGCCAGCTCTAGGAAGGGTTCTGGTCGTCTCAAACGTCTTCCATTTAAGGATTATGGAGGCCACTGTGCTCTTAGGAACCTTAAGTGCAGCAGAAATTTTTTTGTAACCTTGGCCAGATCTGTGCCTTGCCACAATTCTGTCTCTGAGCTCTTCAGGCGGTTCCTTTGACCTCATGATTCTCATTTGCTCTGACATGCACTGTGAGCTGTAAGGTCTTATATAGGCAGGTGTGTGGCTTTCCTAATCAAGTCCAATCGGTATAATCAAACACAGCTGGACTCAAATGGTGTAGAACCATCTCAAGGATGATTAGAAGAAATGGACAGCACCTGAGTTAAATATATGAGTGTCACTGCAAAGGGTCTGAATACTTAGGACCGTGTGATATTTCAGTTTTTCTTTTTTTTTAATAAATCTGCAAAAATGTCAACAATTCTGTGTTTTTCTGTCAATATGGGGTGCTGTGTGTACATTAATGAGGAAAAAAAATTAACTTAAATGATTTTAGCAAATGGCTGCAATATAACAAAGAGTGAAAAATTTAAGGGGGTCTGAATACTTTCCGTACCCAGTGTATGTGCTCATGTTAGTTAATATAATTTAATAATATTAAATTTAAAAATATATAACAATATTAATGTAAAAATAGAGTTATGGCTACATCAAATCTTGAAAACAAAATTAAAATATAAGTGTATAAATACTTATAACATTTATTGATGCTTAATGTTATAGTAATTACAACATCATTATCGTAATATGATTATGATTTTTGAAGGCTTAATTACATAATTATGATCTTTGAAGGGTCAGCTTTTAAATGTCATTGTTATCAGATTATGTTACCGTTTAATACCTGCTTCAATCAAGAAAAGCAAGGGACAGGAACAAATATAAAGAACAAAATATGAAAAATAAATAAATAAATAATTTCAACCATTCAACCATTATTTACTCACCCTAATGTTTTTTTTTTTTTTTTTTTCCAGTGGGAGATTTTTCTCTCTTAATCCTAAAATTTCATCAGTGCTAATGTTTCTAGTTTTTATTACCTTTAATAAGCATCTCTATTTTAATATCACAAATATTTCAACAAAAACTATTTAACCAATACTAACATAAATTTGACATTTCTTTAAGAAATCCTGGAACTAGACTCTACACATTCATTCAGTTTGATTACCTAGATCAGAGCCATTATTTCAAGTTCATATGTATTTGTTGATGCGTGTGTGTAGTCCGTGTGATCTGAGCGATCTGGAGTATCTTGATGAGGAGTTTCATCAGAGTCTTCAGTGGATGAAGGACAATGACATAGAGGACATGCTGGACCTGACCTTCACCGTCAACGAGGAGGTTTTCGGACAGGTCAGTGTGTGACTGTTTGTGTAAGCTTGCACAACCTCTCGCCATCGTCTCAGAGAAGCGTGTGTGTGTGTGTGTGTGTGTGTTAGATCACAGAGCGCGAGCTGAAGCCTGGCGGTGCAAATATCCCCGTGTCAGAGAAGAATAAGAAGGAGTACATCGAACGCATGGTGAAGTGGCGTATAGAGCGCGGTGTCGTCCAACAGACGGAGAGCCTGGTGCGAGGCTTTTATGAGGTACTGAAATCCAATCAGCACTCCAGTAGCTTTCAGTCACGTAAAAACATGCCACTTCTGCCATGTAGAGTTGCCCTGAGATATTCCAGAATGCTTTTTTTATTGAATTTCTGTTTGATAGATTTGGGTCGTTGTGCAATTTCAAGTGCTTTCGCTTGCTTTAATAGAGCAAGAAGTCTTGCTTGTCATTTAAAGGTTTGGGGTCAGGAAGATTTTTTTATTCTTCTTTATTCAGCAAGAATGCATTAAATTGATCAAAAGTGACAATAAAGACATTTGTAATGATGCAAAAGATTTTTATTTCACATAAATGCTGCTCATTTGAGCTTTCTACTCATCAAAGAATGAAAAATGCATTGCTGTTTCTACAACAATAAATAAACTGTTTTTTTTATACATTGATGATAATAAATGTTTCTTGAGCAGCATATCAGTATATTAGAATGATTTCTGAAGGATAATGTGACGCTGAAGACTGGAGTAATGATGCTGAAAATTCAGCTTTGCATCACAGGAATAAATTAGATTTTGAATACATTCAAATAGAAATCAGATATTTTAAACTGTAATAAAAAAATTTAATATTAATGTTTTTACTCTATTTTTTATCAGATAAATGCAGCTTTGTTAAGCGTAAAAAATGTCTTTCAAAAACATAAAAAAAAAAAAAATCATACCGACCTCAAACTTTTAAAACAGCAGTTATTGGGGAAAAAACATATCAAATCCACATATGTGCTCATGTCACTCTTTCTTTAACTTACCTGGCATTATATTAAGAGTTAATTGCATTATATATTATTAGTTAATATAATTTAATATTATATTTAAAATTCTTAAGTATTGTTACAACTACATAAAATCTTGAAAGCATCTACAAAATATTTCTTGATGCTGAAGGTTATAGTCATAAGCACATAATATCCACATACTTGAATTCAATATTAAAAACCCAAAGGGTCAATTTTTAAATGTCAGTGTTGTTAATCAAATTATGTTAGCTTTTCATTCAAATTTCTTTCAGTAAGCCTGGTCATTATATGATTATAATGCCTGCTTCCATCATGAAAACCAAAAAAAGGAACAGGATCACAATATACAAATCCAATCATTATTTTTATCACTCTCATATACTGTTGTTTTTATTTGTGGAACATGCAGTAATTTTTCTTATAGATGTTTTCTTTCTACTGTTTTTTATTATCTTTAATTAGCATCACTGACAAAAGATCATGTCTGCCAATGAGGAATGAAATGTATTTTTAAAAATCCTCAATTATTTAGTGTAACCTTGAATGAAACGAAAAAAGAAGATGAATTAATTAATACAGCAGGGTAGCATAGGCGGAGGGTGGACCAACTCCAGTGTAAGGCTAAAAACAGCCAAATCTATTAACTACAAACATCATAAATCCGTCTTTTTAGGCAAGAACCAGACATGGGTGTCATGTAGCCTAATAAAATATGTTTAATGGTACTGAATTTGTATTTGACGTGGTTACAATTTAATAAAAACATTAGAAATTGATAATTATAAAACGTTTCCTTTCCAAGGTTATTCAAACAGCGAATAAATGATTATATAGAAAGTGACATTATCACTAACTTTGATCTATCGCGAGTTAAAGCACTCTCAAAAAAACAAAACTATGGTTATAATCACGTAAGCTGTCTACACTGTGAAATTAATCTCTTACTTACATTGTACATACATCTGCGCCTCGCTGTGGCCAGGGGAAGGCACACGGTAGGTTAAAGGCAGGGTAAGCGATTTCTGGTAGCCAATGTTGATATTTGAAATCACCAAAACACTGATTGGCTACAAGTTTGTTTTGCTATTCCGCCCGAATCAGTTTTCTAAAGTGTTTTTGAGAAATTACATACCCTACCTTTAATGTATGATTGACGAGTTTCATTTCTGTAATATCTTCAGGTGCATCATTTACTATAGTCTTACCCAACAGGAATACAGGTTTCCAGTAATAATATCGAAGAAAAGGCAGAATTTCCCATGATATTTCATAGCGCTGGCACTGAGCTGGAAGCAGATGTTTTATGGTTGTGAACTGACCGCAGGTTGTAGATGCGCGGCTGGTGTCGTTGTTTGATGCGCGGGAGCTGGAGCTGGTGATCGCTGGGACGGCGGAGATCGATCTGGGAGACTGGAGGAACAACACCGAGTACAGAGGAGGTAACCACAGACTGACAGATTCATAATAACTGATCACCAGATTTATATTACCACCATCATGGTAGTGTCCAAAACTGTGGTAAAAACATGGAATCAAGATATGAAGCATCTGATTTATGACTGAAATATTATCCGCCAGATAGACTGAGGGCTTTTACAGCGTCTCCTAGCCCTACAGATCACATCTCGAGTTTATTGGGACAAGTTTATTGGGTTTCCCTCCAGGTTACCATGACAACCACATCGTGATTCGCTGGTTCTGGGCGGCGGTGGAGAGATTCAACAACGAGCAGAGACTCAGACTGCTGCAAGTGAGTGATGAAGGAGAAACACAAGCTCTTTTTATAAAACAGAGTACAGTCTGTGTACTTGACCTGGGGCTGAAATGGCTCTGTTGTCTCAGTTTGTGACAGGGACGTCCAGTATCCCGTACGAGGGCTTCGCCTCTCTCAGGGGCAGCAACGGGCCGCGCCGCTTCTGTGTGGAGAAATGGGGGAAAATCACGTCTCTGCCCAGGTAATCTGAACTCAACTCAAGATCCTGTTTATAAAAGTTTCAAATGTCACATTTTTAAATGCCACATTTCATGAAATCACATCTACTCCATGTCTGTCAGAATTCATTTATATTTAACCACTACATTTATTTTAATCATCATTGTAATGCATTTCTTTGTTTGATGCCCACCACTATTAAAATTAAACTAGGATTTTACTTAAATATATTTAGAAGGGTGTCTATATAAATATATAGAGTAATATACATATAAATAAATACAGTAAATGTTTTTATGTTTTTGAAAAAAGTCTCTTCTGCTCACCAAGGCTGCATTTATTTGATCTAAAAAACAGTAATATTGTGAAATTGTATTACAATTTTAAATAACTATTTTCTATTTTGATATATTTTAAAATGTAATTTATTTATTTGATGCAAAGCTGAATTTTCAGCATTAGTTAGTTACTCCAGTCTTCAGTGTCACATGATCCTTCAGAAGTTATTCTGATATGCTGATTTAATTATCAAGAATTATTATTTTTATTATTATTATCAATGTTGAAAAACAGTTGAAGTGCTTAATATTTTTGTGGATACTGTGATCAGTTTTTTTCAGTAATATTTGATGAATAGAAAGCTGAAAAGAAGAACAGCATTTACTTAAAATAAAAATGTATTACTTTTTTAATATTATAAATGTCTTTACTGTCACTTCTGAACATTTTAATTCATCGTTTCTTAATAAAAGTATTAATTTATTTCTTTAAAAATACAAATAAAATGAATAAATAATACAAAAAATAGACCAAACTTAAAAAAAATATACTTTATATGCATCTATTTATAATGTTTTTATGTTTATGTCTATTATATATTTATATTATGTATTTCTAAATTGGTTTCATACTTTGTTGGCACTGAATTTAGGAACATAAACAGATGGATTACATAAAAAACTAAATAAAATCGTAGTTCGAATTTTACAAACTATCTACCCAAATTAAGTTCAATAATGGCACATTTGTCCCAAATAAACCGTTTTTTCCCACAGATGTCATTGCTTATGTGATCCACAAGATGGCACAATCCTGCAGTTCATAATACAGTCGCTCAAAAATTGTTTGGAAATTTATATGATCAGAATATGAAGTTTCCTGTCTTTATTTGTCGTTGTAGAGCTCACACATGTTTCAATCGTCTGGACCTCCCCCCGTACCCCTCGTTCTCCATGCTGTACGAGAAGATGCTGACGGCAGTGGAAGAAACCAGCACTTTCGGTTTGGAGTGAATGTTGATTTTTGCACTTTGAGCTGATCAAATATCCTTCATTTCCACGACCCGTCAGGAAGAGCAAAGGAGGTAACCATCTAAAACAGACACCAGAAGCACTTAGACGTATATTTTGTACACCGTATCACTTAAAAATACTTTCTTGGAAAGAAACACAGAAAACGATCAGTGAGCTGGACTGGACTGAGAGAAGCGAGGATGTTGTCTGAATGGTTCTCAGACGCAAACATTGATCGGCTCTGGATGAATCGAGGAGGATGTGACCAGCCAAATGCAAAGCTGAGTGACTAACTGATTCAAATGAGGAACAAAACAAACCCAAAGGACTTTGATATTCTCACTCTCTTTTTATCTGTAAAAAAAAGACTTTTCTACGGAGCATCAAAATGCAGCGTGAATGAACAAATACTGTGTTGTGAAAGCTTTTTCAGATCGCCTCAAACACTATCACACACGACAGCGCTGCCCTCTATACTGAATTGAAATGTATATGTTCTCTCTTCTTTTTGTCATATTTATACATTAGTCTTTCTCATATGTTTGTTTTGACACCGTATGCTGTCCAAGTAGCTGTCACGTTAGATATGTGACACTTTTGAATGAATTTGGTTGTTTATATACTCTCACACGTGACGTTTTCAAAGGGCATGTTACAACATCATGAATGTGACCACTATGTGCAAATGATAAAAAAAAATCAACAATAGAAGATGATTTTTTGACTTTATAGTCCAACCTTGGCCTTTCTGTTGTCCTCAGATAACACGATTTTATTTCCGATGACATTTGAACAAATAGAGCGGTCACATACCCACTGAAAGAAGCTACAGAAACACTCAAAGTCAGCATGAAATTAAAACGGACACTATTTGTGTTACTAATACGCTTCATTGTGGTATAATAACGTTTTCTGATTTAAATGGAGTAAAATAGCTTGCGTTGCCATTTCATGTTGACATGTTGATTTTTATTTCCATATCCTTATATAGCTTTAGTGTGACATTAATGTTGCAGACGCAGCTGTCTTGAATCTCCTTTTCATTTTTCACTCTCTTCTCTTGAGTCCGACAGAGTTTTCTTGTATGATTTGAAACTGGAATATCAAGCCCGCAAAACCATATCAATACATTCCAGACTTTTCCATTTGCGTTAAGTCAACCCAGCCTTTTACGAAACACTGCCGTGGCTGCGGGACGCTGGATTGTACTCTGGTTCTGAATGTTTTGTAATCTGAATTTTGTGTAAGGAGTTCATATCGCTTCCAGTGAAAACTGGTGTAGTTGAAACTGCCATTGTTGCGAATCATCATCAGAGTCGGGATCCATTTGCAGCGTTCTTTATTGCGTAACCAGACAAGACAGGGTCAATCACCAGTAGATACAACAGTGTGGGCTAGGCTGAGACAGAAACGTGGGACGGGCAGGAGGTCGAGGCAGGCGGCAGACAGACACAGTAGAAGAACAATCCAAGTCGGGGCAGGCAGAGACAGATCAGAATACCATAAACAGTCCAAGGTCAAACGAAAAGGCAAGATACAGGGTTAAACGCTCAGAAGTGACAGCCGGGGCAAATCAAGACTTCGCAGTGAGTAGCTGTGAGTGTTTGGCTTATATGTGTGTGCGTGATTCAATGCAGGTGTGTGCGTGCAATCAGTCCCGGGTATGAGGCATGATGGGAACTGGAGTCCGAATGGATAAAGTTAGTATTCAGGAGAGAGTTCCCTCTGGTGGCGAGGAGGAGGCGGTACGGAAGCCTCCTCTGTAACAGCCATGGGGCTTTATGAGGTCCATCAAATTTTGGAATGGCAATGAAGACAAACACGAGCATATCGTCTTTGTCAGTTCGATTATGGCCGGTTAGATCACTAATACAAACCAGATAGATCTTCGTTTTTGTATTAAGGCTTTTGCAGTGGCGTGCTGATATTTGTGCTGAATGTACCAAAGGTTTAGGGCTGCCGTAGACTGTCCCGTCCACGTTTTGTTTGATTAAAAAAAGGAAAACATTTATTAAAAAACAATGATAATAATAAAAGCCTTTTTTTGGATGCCCCAATTGTTAATTGGACTTTTTAGAGTAGCGTTTTCACGATGATGTTTTACACACAATATAACAAGGTCTATACAATGAGGAAACAATTACGCTTTCTGTTGTTTGAAGATGCAAATGCATTGTTTAATATGTATGTATGGTTTATCTGGAGATTTAATGGAATAGTTCAGTTGCTGTGATTTATTCACCCTCATGCCGTTCTAAATGCATTTCTTTTTTTTTTTTCTTTTGTGGAATAGAAAAGGTATTTCACAGATTGTCCAGACTGATACTGTGAAAGTGAATAGAGACTGGGAGTGTATAAAAGTCCAGTGTTTCTTGGAAGAAAGAAAATCTTGTGGATGAGGGTGAGTAAATGATGTCCGAATTTCCATTTTTTGTGAACTGTTCCTTTAAATGTTCCCTGCCTTTCTAAAGACCACAGGCTTCAGACTGAGATCACACATAAGTTCTGGCTTTCTGCTGATGTTCGTTACTAAAGCTTTCTGTACTACTTTCAATTTTGCACCGTTCACGTGCTCTGAAAACATGTGACTGTTGATTGGATAACAGCTTTCAGAGCTCCACATTTGGGTTTTTCTCTTTTTTGTTTCAGCACAGATGATTGTATAAAGCTGTTTATCTCACGGAAAATGCCTCGGAGTCTTGATTCCATATTCAGATGGGTTATTACTGTTTTTGGTCTTGTTTTGATGAAATGATTGCTTATTCAGATGAGTCAAATTTTAGTTGAACTAAGATCAAAATTCCATGTCTTTTATTTTTATTTCAATGTAGTTTATTTGATAGATTTTTTAAAATTGTTTTCGACAAATTGGGTCTGAACCCATTTATAGTAAATGCAAAGGTTTGCCATATATATTTTTTAATTAAACAAATGTGATCAATTCTGACCATTTAATGCACACGTTTGCTTTCCAAAAGCCCCAAGACCCAATAAAATGCTAAAATAATAATAATAATTTTCAAACTAACAGACAATTGTGGGAGGGGGGAAAGAAAATAAAACGTAACATTTTACAGTGATTTACTGTAACTTAATTAATCACTGATTCAAAATGAGGCTCTTTTTGTGTTACAGTTGTTACCAATGACATATTAATGTTTTCTGTAAACATGAGTCTTGTTATTAATAAATCAACAATAGACATTTAAATATTAAATGCACAAAATATGGTACTTGCGTCTGCATTATGATTTATGATAAATGATTGTAACTTGTTTCCTTTTTATAGAGCTTTTGTCATCATCCTTGAACAAGGAACTGGAATTCTATAATATTTACAGTAACCATGCTCAAATATTCATATGAAATCAGAGCAATGCATCATGAATCATATCGTTGCGGTATTTTAAAGGAACTAAATTCATAATAGGTCTCTCAACATGTTGCATGCATGTCTATTTGTGAACGGCAGATGGCAGACCACCCATACAGTTTCCTTTGAGGGTCTCCAAGCCAAAACAGCATCAGAGACTTTCAAATGTCCATCTAATCTGAAATGTTTATTAACCTCTGAATCTCGCTGAGAGAGACCTCAAAGCCGCTTTATTATACACTGCACAATAATGTCAGATTTCAGTCAGTCTGACAATATGGCAGTCAGCAAGATGAATGAAAATAGATGCTAATTAGCACCTTCCACTGTGAAGCGCACACATCCAGCACTGGGAGAGAAGCGCCGCATCTTTGCCGCATGAAAGAGCGTGCTGATGCGGGTGCTAGAAGCGCTCTTGCCGCACAATCACACGGGCCTTGATTGGCGGTTGTGTGAAAGCCGGGCCCCACAGCCTCTGTTCAACGAGGCAGTATTTTCAGGGTCCCTTAGAAACCTATTTCAGCTGTTTTATCTGTTCAGTAGTGCTTTGCTGGCACTACCATAAACCCTTGTGCTTTTAGTGTGACATGGACCATGCTCTATTTGTGTGTGTGTGTGTGTGTGTGTGTGTATAAAGTGAGTGGGGGTGACCCTGAGCTGTAACAGCTGGTGTGTAGGATCCCATTGGACGTGAGAAACTCATCTGATATATAATAATAAATCAGGAAGGTTACTCTTTTTTTGCACAAAATACTATGGTAAATGCACTCACTGGTATTGATGGATCAGATTTGTGTGCACAGATTCACAATTCACTGACTATTTTGACTTGTCATTCCGCGCACTCCAATATCTCACAAATGTGCACGTACAGATGCACACGCACAGACACACAGACATATTGAGTTATTGACCTTGAGGGAGTAAAAAAGCTCATATGCCCCTGCGAATGATTTCACTCAACAGAATGATGCATCTTCCCCTCGGTGGAGGAAATGACAAGCCTAAATAATCAACAAAATCATTATTCAATATTTAGGGTTAGGGTTTAAATTTAAAAAATCGGTTCTTAAAAAAAACTCTAATTGTTCAGCTACAGATCAAAATGTTGTCTGGGATGTGTTTTTTTAGTAAATGTCTATATGTTGGTTAAAGTCGAACTAAATCTTGTCGTACAATGAATTAACAACAAAAGACCAGAAGTTATCATGGTATTACCATGTTGGTTTTTCGCCACTCTGATATACCACGGTATATGAATATGATAACATTAATATATGAATAATTTATATTGAAATAATATTAATAAAGTAATACAATATTAATATGATATATATTAATAATATGATAGCACCAAAGTATTGCTGTTTTGTTTTGTTTTTTGATGTCTTGCAAAGCAGTAGGCTACTGCGGCAATATCAATACTGTAATAGTAATAGAATCCTGTAACATTATGGTACTGGAAATGTATTGGTATTTAGTGCTACAGTGTTACAAGTAAAAAAAATGGTAGTACCATAGTAACTTTTATATAAATGACAATGTACCATGCTAATACTATTTTTTTTTACAGACAAGGACTGTTGTAATGGCAGATTTCATTAAAAATTTAACTTAAAAAAAATAAATAAATAACAAAATATTATTAATGAGAGAGTGCAAAATATCTATCGTCCAAACAATGTCGTTACTTTACCCAAATACACTTTGATAAACCGATAAAAAATATTTATGTAGCTGTCGGCACGGATTTCGCGGGAAATTGCATTCATACGTCATTCGCCCGTGCGTGGCACGTCATAAACGCACACAGAGAAGTAGCTCCGTAATCTCCGCAAGACGCATGCAGTTTTAATTCTTTACCACTAGAGGGCGGAAAGTTACACCGTGTTCTTGTACAAAGTAAATAGGCCTACCATGGTAAAGGCTATATGTTAATCTAATATATTTACAACAAAATATAAAGAAGTACCATGTTGTTTTGGACATATATCATTTTATAAACATAATTTCAGTACCATAGTATTTGTAAAAGTAAATGTAATTCATTCATTATACCATTGGACCACCACAGTATGTTTTTGTAAGAGAGTAGGCCTACTGTGGACACTTGTGCCAAGTAGGATATGATCTACATGCATCAACAATTTGTTGGTCCAAGAATAACATTTTCATTAACAGATTTTAGGGTTAAGGTTATAGTTATGGTTCAGGCTACAGAAAAGAAAAGATCCTGAAACGTTCTGCTTGCCAAAATCACAAACATAATGGTACCAATAAATGCCTTGAATCTTGAACATTCCTTGTCATTCCTTCCAAATGGATGTTGTATGCTTACATATCTATTCAATCACAAGATGTATCTTGACATGGATAAACGTTGCTCTGAAAAATACCCACTAAACGTGAACCATGGAAACAGACAGACATCAATTTCCCCGCGTGACAATTTGCAGCCACAGCTCACCAGACACCTTATCATCTCCCATTTACAAAACACATCTGTCGTGAAGTTGATGTATAGCTCTGATGCGATCGCTTGCATTGTGGAGGACAGGAGTATGCATGATAAAATAACGAAGCAGGAATGGTGTGGACCTCCACGCCACGGGTCTATTTTTACAGGCATGGCAGGAGGAAGTGGAATGGAAAGGCTATTTTGCATTATGCATGGCCTGATAGAAAGAGAGGAGCAGAGGATAGAATAAACAGCACTTCCTCTAGTGGGACAACACAACAGACAAAAGAATACTTTTATATTTAGTGTATGTATGTATAAGTGTATATATGTTTTATGATCTGTACTGTGGTATGATGGACATTTTTTTTTTGCGTGACAATTTGCAGCCACAGCTCACCAGACACCTTATCATCTCCCATTTACAAAACACATCTGTCGTGAAGTTGATGTATAGCTCTGATGCGATCGCTTGCATTGTGGAGGACAGGAGTATGCATGATAAAATAACGAAGCAGGAATGGTGTGGACCTCCACGCCACGGGTCTATTTTTACAGGCAGGCATGGCAGAAGTGGAATGGAAAGGCTATTTTGCATTATGCATGGCCTGATAGAAAGAGAGGAGCAGAGGATAGAATAAACAGCACTTCCTCTAGTGGGACAACACAACAGACAAAAGAATGCTTTTAGTGTATGTATGTATAAGTGTATATATGTTTTATGATCTGTACTGTGGTATGATGGACATTTTTTTTTTATTTTTTACTAAATTATTATTAATAATAATTATAGTAACATTTTATTGAGATCGTGAATGACTTTCCCCATGCAAAACTTGCTGCAATAATCTAGGATGTTCTGGGGCATTTTTATTCTGTTGCTATGGGGTTGCTAAGGTTGATTTGAGTGATTTTCCATGTGTTGCCATGTGGTCGCTAAAGGTTCTGGGTGGTTTTAGTCTGTTGGTATGTTGTTGAAATGGTTTCTGGGTGGTTGCTAGGGTGATCTGAATAGGTTTTATTGTATTGTTATGGGTTCTGGGTAGTTGCTAGGGTGTTGCTATATAGTTGCTAAGGTTTTCTGACTGGTTTTTCACATGTTGCTACAGGGTTGCAGTGGGTTCTGAGTGGTTGCCAGGGTGTTGCTACAGTATATGGTTGCTAGGGTCTTCTCAGTGGTTTTTGATGTGTTGTAATGTCGTTGCTGTGTGTTCTGTGTGGTTGCTAAGGCATTTCAATATGGTTGCTAGGTTTTCCAAGTGGTTTTTCACATCTTGCTATGGGGCGGCAATGTGTTCTGGGTGGTTGCTAGGGTGTTGCTACAGTATATGGTTGCTAGGGTCTTCTCATTATTTTTTTAATGTGCTGTAATGTTGTTGCTGTGTGTTTTGGGTGGTTGCTAGGGCATTTCTGGGTGGATTTGGTCTGTTACTATGTTGTAGCTATGGGTTGTGGGTGGTACTACGGCATTACTATATGGTTGCTACGTAGGGTCTTCTCAGTGGTTTTTAGTGTGTTGTAATGTGGTTGCTTTGGATTCTGGGTGGTTGCTAAGGCATTACTATATGGTTGTTAGTGAAAGTGAAGTGACGCGATGCCAAGTATGGTGACCCATACTCGGAATTTGTGCTCTGCATTTAACCCAAGTGCACACACACACCGTGAACACACACACCCGGAGCAGTGGGCAGCCAATGCTGTGGTGCCTGGGGAGCAGTTGGGGGTTCGGTACCTTCGGAACCCGCGACCTTCGGGTTACAAGTCCGACTCTCTACCCGTTAGGCCACGACTGCCCCCCTGGTGTTTTGAGTAGTTTTTCTAGAGTAGTTTTGATTTTTGTTTTATGATTGCATATGATTATATGATTGCAGTGGGTTCTGGGTGGTTGCTATATAGTTGTTTATATGGTT